GCATTTAAATACAAACTCAATAAATTAGACTTTTGCTGAAATTTTTAATTTCAGTAATTCCGTTATCACTATTAAATAATATTTCTGCTGTTTTATATCTGTTTTTCTGCACTGATACTGTATTGTAAGCAGTCTGTCTTGTTCAAAGTTTAATATGAACATTATGTAATTTTTTTAAAGTTATTACTCAGTTGCACACCCCTTGAATCCTTATTTTAATATACCTATTTCTAATAATTGTATTGTTGTAGTTTTGTACAGTATATAATTATTGTTCCTCATCTCTAGTCATTTTTTGTAGGCTTTATGAGAGGCAGATGTTTTCTGTAGTTGACTGACATACTTCTTACTGCTTAAAAAGCATGTCAAAAGAGCTATGAGGATTAACATTTGTCAATGATTATTAATAACTGAATTGATTTTTGTAACTGTGCAGCAATTAGAGGTTGTTAATGAACTGTTGAGACAGAAAAGATAAAACCTGACTCAACGGTTTTGCCAGTTTTAGCGCCTTATTAATTTTGCAGCACATTATCTGACATTGTTAAATACCGAGCTATTAGAAATAGAGTTGATAATTTCCACTGCTGTTTCTCAAAGTTGTGTGTACAACAGGCGTGTGTATTGCAATCAGTCTGTCCTCAGAGTTTGGAAGTTCATACTTTAAGATGCACGAAGTGAGATTTTAAGTATTGCACATCCACCATTGCTTGGCCTCTCCTCCAAGTTATTTACACAGACAGCTGCCTCATTTAAGCAGTGATTATCTACACCCATGGCCCCTAGTTATTTTCCAGTCACATTTCCACACTTCTGGAGGATGTCTTTCCCTTTCACCACCGTGGAAAAAGAGAGTTTGGATGCGGGTGAGGAAAAGTGAAGATTAAAGTTAAAAGTGAGTACCAGAGGGTGGAGCGTCATGGTCCACCCTACTTGCTGCCCATATGGAGTCTTTTCTGTTTCAAAAAAATCCTTCTTCGCTCCTTTGGGCTGTTGATATTATTGTGCTGCTCCACTGAAAATATTTATTTTCAGATCAAAATAAAGCAATATTTCATTTTTATTAACACATATGTGAGTTGACTCTTTCAGAAGGTCTGGACTGCTCAGATAACTGCATCAAGACTCCTTTATAACACAAATTGGACCTTTGACGTCAGTTTTTTTTTTTTTCATAGATAGTGCAGTATATATGAATTAATGCTGTAATTTATGATTAGAAATTTCAGAAGCTCATTCACCATTGACTTTTTGGGGATTTAGAAATGTACAAGTTTCAAAATGTAAATTTACAACTCAATAGAAAACGTCACCGTTACTACATTTTATATACTCTAATTAGTCAGTTGATAACTTTTGGCTGTAGGGACTAGCAGAGACTACAACCTAGTACAGGCCTGCTGCCTCATGGTGGGAGCTGATTCACTAACTAATTGGGCCAGTAGCTTTTTATAAAGTAGGCTGAAGAAGAGAAGCAGTTTCAGGACAGGTGTCAGTTATTTTATTTCAAACACAAAGCCACTATAACTCAGTGAGAACATATAAATCAAACATAAAATCTGACACTCTGACATTGTGAAGTAGATGACAAAAACACTCATCGCCAACACGGGTGAGTGTTTTTGACAAAATGGGGGAAACTAGCATAAGCTGTGGTGTGAAAGGTATCTCAACTGTATGCTAAAACTTAGAAATTGTTTGACTAGAAAAACATGTTTACCTTATTGGGTTTCAGCAGTGTGGACGGATGGTTAACAGATTTACGGTCAACATTAAAGGCACATACTGCATGTGTGCTTGTAGATATGCAAATATTTTCATGCTATTTGCAACGTCAACTTTTCATGCATTTTCCTTCAAGAGGTGTTTACAGCCAAGGTGCACTGTGGATGTCCTTTTAATATTGAATTGTCTTCAAATTTTTATATATTTTTTATTTTATATATTTTTTGATAACTAATTCCTCTATTTTTGGACTTTGAACACACAAATGCTCAAGTAAGTTTGTTGTGTTTGAGTCCTTTGCTTTTACTGTACCTCTGCAAAAGTGCAAAACTGATTTGTTCCCATTGTGTGATTTACCTTTTCATCTAGTTTATTAAGTGGTTGTCACAGTCACAAGTGAGAATATTTGGAGAAGAAAAATAATTCAGATTCTTAGGCAAATTTTGACATCTTTCAACTTCATGATTTTCTATGATCCATTCAAAGGATTTTATGCTACATTAAATTAACCAAGGCAAAAAACACCACCAATTCTCCACTCCTTTACTTTTACTAACCTTTATCTGTCCTCTCTGTGTATCCCACACTGAGTGAGTGGGTGCTGATGGTACATCTCTCAGCTTAATGCACTGCAGAGTTAAAGATCAGGTTGTTAACACCATGATCAGGGCCTACATCAGTGGCACAGGGCACTCCTTCACTGTACTGCTGGAAACATCATAATTGACTTACTTACTGAAAATATGCACCCACATTTGGACACTCTCATATCTTTGCAGCATGCATTCAGAAGCATCTGGACCCTGCGCAAGCAAGTGATGATATCAGAGAGAATGAAAAGATCTAGCATTGTTTATGAGGAAATAGAAAAAAGTACTTTCGTTACAAATATTTAGCTGCATAAAAATTTTTTAAGCAACTAAACACAAATGTAGTCTGCTTCAGACTAAAGGAAGTTACTCACTGTCACTGAACATTTGTCCGAGATGGATGAATTTATTGACATTTTGCAATGTTTTCACATTAACAAACAGCACTGAAAATGATCCAAACAAAAACATTTACCAGAACCAAATCTCAGTAGGGTTGTCAAGTTCTCTGACTTGGTAGGGAAAAACTTCTTGATAGGTTCTCTGTTTGTGTCTTACTGAACATCTGGGACCTAGAGAAGTTCTGGTCCCATTATGTATATTAAGTAATAGAGAACAGACCTTAAAATGGTGACGGTGGGAAATCACTTGCTCTGGATGCCGTTGGCAATTCTTTAGTACTGCTATGTGAAGATCTGAAATGCTGGTGGAAGCTTAAAAACACTCTCATCAAAGACTCTTTCACTATTTTAGCTATTATGTTGGCATTTTATTCAGAATATTCACAATTTATTATGGCTACAGAACACATTTTCACTGCCCATACTAGAGTTTTCTGAATCTATGGATCATAATTCTGAACACACTCGCATTCAGATTTCTAAAGTACTGGAATAAGATCTGAAGTTAAGTTACATTGAAAACTTACTTCGACAAACATAAAATCCACTTCCTGTCTGGCACAGAAAAAATTATTGCTCATCTTAAACTTTTGTAGCTTACCAAATTGTTCTTATTTGTGCGTCCAGCAAAGGACAAGATTTGGATGATATATTCAACTCTACACTTTCTCACCTTGAAATGGGAGAATCCTCTTTGGTAAAAAGGTTTCAAGTCTAATCAGGGCTGATTAATTATACAAATGGGCACAAAGCTTGCTAACCTAATTGATGGCTTTATCTGTGTTTTGCTCTATACAAGAGGGATAGTATTGTTTCTCCTGAGGACCAAGGAAGATTTACCCCTTTGAAGGTTAATCATGCATGAGTTAAGCAGCTGGCAAGGGGATAGAAGTCCATTTAATTACATTTAAGTTTAAAGTGCTTCTTCCACAAATGTTCAATGATGTCTAAGAAACATAAACTAACTTTATTACATTACATCACATGCATCTATTATTTATGTTAATGTTATTACTCTAATGTAATTTCTCTTTTTATTTCCTTTATGCAGTTTGTAACTTTGTATGCTTGTATTGTGCTGTGGCTATGAGAGGTTCTTTAGGAATAAACTTTACTGACTTTGTTGCTCTAAAGTTTGGTTTCAACTTATTTATTGTTTATGTGAACTTTTAGTCATGTCTCAAGATATTTTTGTTTCTTGGTTAATGCTAAAACATGTCAGTAGGCTGTGTTTCAAATTGTTTACAGTGATTGTTAATTAAATGTTACTGACAAAAATACCAAGTTATCTCTTGAAGATTTTATCATGTTTGCTTCCAAAAGAAAAAAACAAAAAAAAAAAAAAAAAAAAAAAAATCAATTTCTGGACATAAATATTTACACAAATACACTTTATAAACAAGGAGATACTCTAAACACTGAACAGCACCACAACTATAGCCTGCTTTAAGGAAAAAAAACAACAACAAACAAACAAAATTACATTAAATGTATAAAAAAGGTAAATGACCTTCACTTGTATTACGCTTTATCAAGTTCAGAGGACCCCAAAGATCTACGACACTTTCAATCATTCACATTCTCACACACAAATTCACACGCTACATAAGCTACATTGTAGCCACAACTGCCTTGGTATAGTTTAACTTGCAATTTGAGCTGTAGTTTTTTTTTTTTTTTTTTTTACCAAAAAGCATCGACGTGTTTGTTTACTTTTTAAAACCTGCCAGGCTACGAAAGTTGTATTTCTGAGACTTTTAATGTTGTTTTTTATTCTGCCTGTTTGTTGCCTCCTGTTCTGCAGTGCTTCTTTCTTTTGCAACTGCAATCTGTGGTGGCTGTAGTGTTCTTCTGAAGCTTTGGGATGCAGAGACTCTTGTGCTGTCGATGTGTCTAGAACTATGATTTATTAATACTCTTCTTAGTCTACCCAGTACTAAAAATACTTTGGAGGCACTGCACCTCATGCACAATGTAACTGGGCAAGTAGTGCACAGACGCTTGAGGTGGGATTTGTCAGCTCAGCATCTTTCTCTGTAACAACATGCACACCCTGGGATGATCCAGGGATTCAGGTTACTTCAGCTTTCACTAATGCATGTCACTAAAGTGGCCAGGTTCTCTCATGTAGCGACAGCACGACTCAGTAAGCAGACCTGATTGAGACTGAGATCCTTGGATGAGAGTGACAACTTAAGTTGAAATTAAGGTTTCACTTTATGTTTAAGTTTTAGCTTTGTGCAGATGTTTTTAAGTCTGTATCTTTGTCTGTTCTTGTCTCCAGTATGAATACTTCAATGCTGTGCTGATCAATGAGGATGTAGAGCTGGGAGGAAAGTTTGTCCTGCAGCCCAACGATCATTTTAACAACCGATCAGTCAACCTCAGCCTCAGTGTGGTCCAAGTGCCCACCAATATGTACAATAAAGGTATGTTAACAATCCACAATATACAGAACATCTATATACACAGTCTATATGAAGAAATTGTTTTACATGGATTCATAATGCAAATTGTTTGACACAAGAAAAAAATCTGTGCTATTGAAAACAGTGAAAGATGTTGCTTGGTCCTGGAGTGTTTTCACACCTGGTAATCCAATAGACTTAGTTCGAGTGGAGACCAAAAGTGCAGCGTTTATTACATTTTCAGCTCACTAGACTGTCAAATGAACCAAAGCCTTTGAAAAACTTATTTACCTAGTCTAGTGGTGCTGCATCAAAAACTGCTGAAGGAAACAACATAAAAACCCCTGCACCAGACACAGAGCATAGCTTCCTACTAAAATATTGTGGACTCAGATTTTAGCCGTTGTAAATGGTCCAGCAAACTCATCAGTTATGATTGAAAACATTTGCCAGACACCTAAATTTATCTTCTCCTTATGTTCAACGTTTTGCTGATGAGATAAAGCGTTTTTCTGAAAACTTTTGATTGTGCAGTATCATACGTCTTGCTCTTTTTGCCTGCGGCAAGGAGCCTACCTTCTAATTAATACACAAAAAACTCAGTGGTAATTACTTACAGCCATCCAGTTCCTGATCACACTGAATTATGTCCTTAGGTAATGTGGCTTGGAGCTAGAAAATTAGCACTGTGGCAATGATAAAGTCAGAATTTTTGCTTCATGTGAAATTGTTTAAGAATACAAACATTCAGCTTGTGTTGTTGGACAATAACATATGGCTTTATCAGTAGGTGGATATGACTTCATTATTTGTAACTCTTTGGTTCATTACTGGCACACATTGACCTAATTAGCTGTTAATAATTAGACTTCTTCTGATTCACCATCAGCTCAAATCCAACAAGAGAATTCGAGGCCAAGTACAAGGCTCTGCGGACAAAGTGAATGTCAAGTTGACTTAACTGAGCTACGAGGGGCAACAAAAGTACATACAGATAGAGAGCGAGGAGGAGGGGGGAGGGAGAGAACAGGGAGAACGTAATTGAAAAAGAAAGTAGGTTAAGTCAGACTGATGGAAGGTCTAAGCAAGAAATTAATTGCCCCCTATAAAAAGAGGAGAAAAAGCAAGTCAGAGTGACAGGAAAAAAGTTAGAAACTAAATAAATGAGAGTGCATGGAAAGTGAGGCTGATAGAACAGGGACGGTAATTGTGATGTGATTTACAGACAAATGATTTGACTCTCAAACTCATATTCCTTACACGCTTTAGCAGTGGTGTAAGACTTTAGACCTCTTCGGCTCTAAGGTCTTAAATTTCTGTTCAAATAAAGTAGACAGGGTTTTCTTTTGGAAATCTTTTGCATTTGAAATGCATTATGAAGGATATGCACCAATTCTACCATAAAATCACTAATACTGAATATTTTCAGTGACATGAATTTGTTCATCTGACATTCTAGTTTTTCTTTTGTATTACTTTCACAAGTCCAAAAACTCAACATAGATGGTAGTCAATTAGAGCCCTTTCAAGAGCTCAATTGGGCAGCTTTCTCATGTTAATTTTGTGCAGACTAATGTGAAAAGCTGTCAAGCACCTGGCTGAGCTCCTTTAATGTTGGAGTTCTCCCAAGTGAATGAGAGAGGAGGCTCTGATTGGTATTTGTGCTTTCAAACAAAAGTATGGTTGTATGGTAACAAGATGGGAAATGGTAATAACAGTCAATTTCATAATCACATTCCCAAACAGTTTTTTAAAAAAATGCCAGAATACAAGTTAAGTTTTTTATGTTTGCTTTGGTCTCAGCTGCCACTGTTTCTCACCATTATTCTGCCTGTTATTTGGAGAACTGACCATAGAATAATGTTCAAATCCCAAAAATGTATCTGTGACAAAGACTGGAAAGGAGAAAGTAAGGATGATAGATCCGTTTAAAAGTCTTATATATAGATAGATGTATAGATATATTGTGATATGTGACATTTCACAGCAGGCCAACTAACATGTTAGAATCCTTGTTCTTGTCACTTTTAAGTGCAATTATCCTGATTTCAGAAATCAATTATTAAATTTCCTTCCTATTGTCCCTGAGGTAAGCTAATTTACACAAAAGGAAAATTCTGATTTCTTTTCATTAGCCACAATATGTTGTTCTGTTTAATCTTAGCTTTTCATCTTGGACCATGAACGCTTTTGCACAGGCTCCCTGTCGAAGTTAAACTCTGTTAAATGAAACCTTGTTGGCAAGTAGCACCATGTTTGATTCCTCATTATGATGATTTTAGATCGTAATAGACACTTGAAATTCACCAGAAGTGACTGCATTGTTGTGTAAATACATTCTGGATCTTTTCCAGTCCCATCTCCACTCCACTCCATTCCATGGAGGTAAATGGGTGTTGACAATCAACAAAGGGCTTTAGTGTGTTATAGCTTCCAGAAGAATAATTCACTCATTGCTTATTGGCATGACTGCTGACAGCAGAACAATGTTGGCAGCAATGGAGATGATGTGAAATCTGTTATCTACTTCTCTTTCACTCCATCCATTAGGTACTTGTCTGTGTGTCTGTCATTTTCTACCCATCTCTCTGAATGCTTTCTTGATTGTTTTTTTTTTTTTTTTTTTTTTTTCTTGCTCGCTCGAGCGGGTATTGTGTTTCTGTCTCACTGTATAATTTTGTGTCTGGCTCTTTGTCATTTTTTTTTTTTTTTGCTTCCATCCTTCCCATCCTGCTCCTGAATGAAGACGAAAGCAGCTGTAAAAAGCTTGGCTGACTGGTTCATAACTAGCAAAGTATTGACACTCTCAACTTGAAAATTAAAAACAAGAAATCATAATTGGATGTGCTGAGCCATATTGTACTTCACCAGTTTCTGCAGTTTTATGTCCAAAAATTGTTGCACAGACTATGTTCTTAGTTTAAGAACATAGTTCAAACATTAAGAACAAGGTTTAATGTGTACACATGGGATACTTTGCAGATGATTATTCTTCTAATAGAGAATAATCATGGACCTGTTTGTGTTGCAGAAGGACAAAGATAAACACTATACTTGTGGGGTTTTAAGATGAAAATTTTTAAGATGAACTCTCACATGTTCAAATCTATTTTATTATGCATATTCTGTTTTTCCACATAATAGAGTACTTAATTAATGTATCACTTAATTACACATTAAGTGATACATTAACTTAATGCCAGAGCATAGCAGATAATTTGGAGCTTATCTGTTACTGCATATGCATATATCAAAATTATTGTTAAATGAACAGAAGCAGAGTAGCTTTATTAAGTAGCTTTCAAAATCCCAAAGTCAGCTTTCAAATAGTCAGTAAAATCATTATTGTTCATCTGTCTTGTCTTATGCTCTCCACCTTATTCCTGGGAGGTTTACTGTAGAAACGATTATCGCTCTTACTTCTGGCACCCACTGGAAGTAGCAGTATTTCACTCTTATTTGTTGGATTTTTTTGCTAATCTATATTCATGATAGAAAATATCATTTTCAATGTGGAGGACAAAAAAAGATCTTTATTATCTTTTCGGTTATTGTACAATATTTTGTAAAACCTGTTTATGGACATGCTGTCTGTTATCAGAGTGTTATGGAGCTAAAACTGTCTCATAATTTACAAAAGCACAGGACGAGATTCACAAATGCGTGATGATCCATCAGCTACCAGTTAAAGTATGAAAGTGTAGCTCTTGTTCTATGCATTTGTGGATCTTGTTCTGTGCTTTCGTGAATCTTTTGCATTTGTGGATCTTGTCACCAGCCTTTCAAAATGTAACCAACTTTCGGTGATTTCTCTATTTCCTCACTGTGTTTTCATAGACTCTGCAATTGTCAATGGTGTGTACTGGTCAGAGGCCCTGAACAAGGTGTTTGTGGATAACTTTGAGAGGGATCCCTCACTAATATGGCAATACTTTGGCAGTGCTAAGGGCTTTTTTAGACAATATCCTGGTAAGTCTGTGCTGTTTTACAGACGGAGCGCCGTTTCTACTCCACTAGTGAACTTCACACTGAACAGCTGCTTAAAGCTACAACAGGTAACTTAAACAAACAAACAAACAAAATATTTTACATATATATTAAAACTTTCACTATGTTATGAGATAGATGATCCCTGAAAAATATAATCGATGCCTCCTCCCTGTGTTCTGCATAATTACTCCGCTCAGTCACGAACCAGCCAATCAGAACCAGCATTAATCAGCTAGCCAAGCTCTCAGGAAGGTTTAATTCAGTAACTAGGATAGTTTATCTGATGCATTTGACTCTAAATGAATATTTATTTTTTTCTTGACATTATTTGATATAGGCAGTGTTGTGAAATTTATTTGAATTTATGGTCAAATTCATTTGACCTACTGTTAAATATTATTTTACTGATTTCAGGTTTTTCAGTTGTTCTTTTGTGTGGAAAATACCCCAAGTGTTGGACTGTGCCTTGTGGACTTCGCTGGATTGTGATTGGCTGGTCTGCCTGTGAATCATGGTCACAACAAACTATCAGAGTCTTGAATGTTCTAGAGTGTGCCGAACAGTTTTTTGCTACAGTAATTTTTTGCCATAGTTCAACAGCTTAGCAACTATAATATAAAAAGGTGTGATGTTTGCTGATTTTAGTTTGTTGCATTAAGAGTTATAAGCTGAGCAATAATAAAAGGTCGCCACATCTTTGACCTGCAGTTTTTTCGGATATCAATCACCACACACTTCAGTTCATTTGACTGAGTAGCTGTGTATTGTGCCTGCAATTTTTTTGTAGTTCATGTCTAAATTAGGTAAATTTATTACCAGATAATTTTTCCATTTGCCAGATCACTTAGCAGAATTTATACCTAAAGCGAAAAATTAACAGCCAGGTAATCGGCAAAGATTGGCCTCATGGTGATCGGTATCTTGATCGGCAGCAAAAAACCTGATCGGAGCATACCTAGTTTTCTCAGTATTCATTGAGGATGTCTTAATGTTAGTAATTCACCTTCAAAACGCATATATGACGATAGTAATGATGAATAAATGGCTTCTGTACAAACCTCACTGAGCAGTTACCGCAGTGTTTTTGACCTTTTGTTGTGGAAAAACTGTTTAATCAGTAATGGCAGGAAAGATGTGGGAGGCAGAGAATACCTCTGGCAAGGTGGTATCACATGGAGATATAAACTTTACTATTTCAAACAAAAATTTCAACTGAAGCAAAAACTGGCAAAGTCAAGCATGTCATCAGCAAGCAAAATCAAACAGAAGATCAAAAGGAAAAGACATCACTGCTCTTTGACTGACAGCGCATCAGAAATCATTTCAGGATAACATTTAGCTCTCGGAATGAAAGATGCAAATGAGATGATTAGATTATGCAGATTATTCCTCTTTTCATGTTCAGTTTTCTCAGTCTGACGAGAGATGATGGAAAAACTGGAAATTTGGCACAATTGTATTTTTATGGGCAGGCTACTGCATGTGTTGAAGTGAGATGGAAATGACCCTGTTCAGGCTGCATCTGGGATAAGCCCATCCCCAGGCTTCCTTCCTCATACCGCCATTGTTGAGCAATACATTGTTAAGTCGTCTCAGCTAAACCACCATCTGGACATGCACTAATACCACAACTGGTCCAAGTCCACAAATGCCTCCCTTAATCATATTGACAGTTGAAGCATCTGTAACTCACAGCCTACACTCATACATTGTAGTGGAAGCAATATTTGTAAAAAACCATACATTTCCATCATTAATCAGACTTGCTTATTGTGTGAACAATACTCTACAATTTAAAACGGTTACTTAAAAATCAAATGCTAACCGTAAGTTCAAATATTGAAATTATTCAAAGACATTGATGTTCGCCTCAGACTATTGAGGGAACTTCAGCAAAAAAGAATATTCAGTCATCATTAGTTCAGCTAATGATGACTGAATATCATTAGCTATTTACTCAGTAAATATTTACTGAGTAAGTAATATTTTCAACTATGACCAAGAACACTCCTATGTAATAGAAGCATCATCTCTGTGTGTATGTATGTGTGTTTGTGCTTATGTATCTGGTCATGTGTTTAAATTAGCATACATCTCTTTCTTCTGTTACTGTAAGCTTCTAACCAGTGTGTTGTCTCTGTAGTGCTGTGTACTTCATGTGGTTTGATTGGTTTGCCTGGCAGGTTTACAGGAAAGGTTTGTCTAACGCTGTGTTTCAGTTACCTTGAGAATCATAACTCTTGAGTTGAGTTGACATCACACCCGAAGTAACAGGTGTGACAGGGATCATAGTCGGAGAAGTCGGGATTTAAGCATGACCATTGACAAACTTTGTTTTAAGCTTTACTTTTCATAAGCAAACAGCAGTTTAGAACTGTAGACACTAAAAGTAAGATGCACTCACACAAGTGTGTCTAGTTAAAAACATTTTCACCACAGCTCACTGTTGTTGATGCAAGGAGCGGCCATATTAAAATGTCAAGTTGGCTATATAAGTTGTAACTGGGATAGTTGGATTACTCCTTTCACAGTGGGAAGTTGACTAGTGGGAGTGTTCCAGTTGATTTTCCAATTTCCCATTTCCAACTATACATATAATGCACCTTTAGTTTAATCCATACATCCAGGAAAGATAAAGATCTAAAGCCTGCTGGGGGAACTTTACATATCAGTATCTCGGGGAACATCTTATCTTATGTGTCACTGCTTTGTAGGAATCGAATCGAGGCTTAAATAAAAAAAATAATCCCGGTTTTAATTTGCTACCCTGGTTTATGAAACAGCCCATTACGTATTACAACTTCCTATTAGATATTCTTGGAGTCCACAGTTGATTCTGGAGTGGCTTTTTCACTACAGGAAATAGGTAACTTTTGGTATTATATGGAGAATTTAAGATGGGCAAAAACAAAAAAGAAAATGTAGGAAGAATAATATGAATACTGGAGATTATTAGAGCAAACTGAGTTGGGGGTAATTACATGTGGCCTCGCTTTCCTCAGAATAGATTAGATGGAGATTGATACTGTAACAGTGCTTTCATTGCAGTTTCATTTCATCTGTCCGTGTGTGTGGGTGTATTCACGCATGTGTGTGTGTGTGGGGAGTGAGCAGGGTTCTGCCTTTTTTAATACATTTTCTGTATGAATGAGGGTGTGCATATGGAAGTGCATTAATGGGTAAATGGTTTACAGGGAAGCTCTGTGGATAGGATACAGCAGAGAATCAATCATAACAGTGAAATGAGAGAGAACAATGGAAGCAGCACATTTGGGAAGTTGAGAGAAACAAAAAAAAAAAGTTTAATTTTGGGATTGTGCTTTGTCAAAGGCAAGACAGTGGCAGAAAGCTTTCGACTGTTCTGTGTCCACATCATGTCAAGTGGAGAAGCTGGGATTTATAAATGTAGGAATTTCTTAGAGAGGCATTTTGTACAGTTATATTTTTATATATACATTTAGTTCAATGTTTGAAACCCTTGTAGCGATTTCACTTTGTATGACTGCTGTCGTTACTGATTTTTCAATTGAATTACTCATCTGATTATATCTCAGAATATATAGCAGCAAAGTAAAACTGAAATAGCTACATTGTAGAAAATGTTCTCTGTGAGTATCCTTCAGTATTTACATAAAAAGGATCATACGCCATATGAGAAGTGATTTCTTCAGTATTGGGTTATCATGTTATAACCTTAAAGCTGTATATATTGAAAATGTTATTTTAAAATAAGTGAAGAAAAAAAACTAAAATGCTGATTAAAAAGTCAGCATTTTTACAAATGAGGTGTTTTTGACAACGACAGGAATACACACGACTAGAAAAAAACAAAACATAAAAAACAACATGTTTAGAGTTCCATAAAACACATTTTCTGTGTGGAATGGCATTCTACAAAAGTATTTTTAAATGTCATGTTCTGGAAAAACTGTGAGTGAAGTGTTTCAAACAATCAGCAGAAGCATTAATTGAAATCATTCATCAGTAGAGTGTGGGCACAATATAAACATACCTGAAAAAAATAGTCTTCATAAACCATCATATTAGTTTTGATTATGGAATGCAGATTGGTCCCATTAAATAAATTGCAATCTTTAAAAGTGTTCTTGAGGGAATTTCATCAACACAATACCTATTAGAGTATTGTATGAATTTAGAAAATATATAGAGAAAAATCTCAACATGTTCCTCTTTTATACTCCCTTCCAGTGGAGAGATTGTATTCAAAGGTGCTTTCTGTAGCAGTGGTAATATATGGTCAATTAAGCAGATATATGCTTTTATTGAAAATGAAGAAACAAGTGAAAGCAAGTTGGAAGCCTATGGTTGGTTTATCTGTAACAATCATCCTCAGCTTAATCCTACAAACCTGTACTACTGATGAAACTTCAGAGGTTTTGTAGCAGAAAACACCTGTGGTATGTTTTATTTTGTGTTCCTCCTCTGCCTGCTGTCTGCTAAAGACCATTTAGTATACACTTTTTTACACTTGTCTCCAATTATAGAATTTTATGCTCAAATCTGTTGTTAACTTTTCCCACACATGTGCTCTAAATTCAGGAGACCTTGAGTATCTTCTCACCTGGATGGTAGGTTCTCTTAAACAAAGTTACAGAATCTTTTTTCTCTGTGTCGTCCTCATTACTGTAGGATTAGTACTTGGTTCATGATTAGTTTTACAATGAAGATTAGGTTTAGGACTGGCATAGTGAAATGTAATCCATCATAGAAAAACAGGATTAAGACTTTGAAGAAGTGAGTGATGTCATGCAGCATTTCAGTACAATCCCTGTTTTTATACACTTAGTTATTACTGATCAGTGCCTACAGGAGGTGGCTCGTCAGCCAGTGCTCCACTCACTGGAAACCAACCACCGCAGCACTATTACTGCTTTCAGAGATTTTTAAAGTTCCTAAATTTAGGTGTATTACTTATGCAGTCATAGTGGCATTTTATAGCACAAACTATATTAGTTGTT